GTGGAAGAAGAGGAAGAAGAAGAGGAAGACGAGGAAGAAGAAGAAGAGAGAGAGAGAGAGAAGATAATACCAATCACAAGGTAACACGGTGGCTCAAAACTCAGAAGTCGTGAACCCTCACAGGGCTTTGTAGCGTTGGAAATAACTTGGGGCCAAAAAGAGTTGCTCAATGTGCTTGCAAAGCAGACCAAGAAAAGAGGTTGGAGGTCTCCTCACAAGTCAGGGGGGCAACCAATCCCGCCGGAACAAAAGGAACTCTAGAGGAAAGGACACATGTTAAACGAGCACCAGCGCAGTCCTTGGATGAAGTTCAACGTCAACTACCTGTTCTTCTTGTCAAGTGCACAGGAGCATTGAACGAATTCCGCGATTGTCTCCAGTCATCGGTAATTGGCTGTTGAACGAAGTCGTGACGAAATTACCCCTACCCCTCACCCTCAACCTGAACACACCCCGCCCATCCTTCCCCAACCACAAGTCCAAGTCATGACATGTCCGTGTCACCAAGAACAAGAGGAAGAGGAAGACAAGGAAAAGCAAGAATAAGAAGCAGGCAAAGAAAGAAGAAGAAGAAGAAGAAGAAGAACAGCAACAACAACAGTGGCAGCAACGCAACAACATTGGCAACAGCATTGACCGGTCACAAGGAACGCACACAAAAAACAAGGAATACAGTAATGACAACATCAATGAAAGTCGAAATGGCGACCGCCACACTGATAAGACAGATAACTTGTCGGCAAATTGTTGTGGTATGTTCAAGTATCAGGTCGGGGGCAGATTTAAGGCCAATGATTTGGATTTTGACCACTTTGATCGGGCGGTTTCAGGAATTTTTCATGCCACCCGCAGGAAACCAGCCCTGGTCCCAAAGCAGCCAATTCCAACATCGGCGACCAGTGCTTCATCGTTCCCTTGGTGCCTTGGGGGGTAGCAGAGTAGCAGAGGAGAGGTAGGTCACTGTCGCAGTACGGGTCTAGCTGTCGGAAACGAACGATTCGGGTTCCAAACCCTTTGCATGGTTGAAACAGGTTCCTTGATTTGGTTTACAGAAACGGTTTCCCATGGTTGAAGCAAGAAACAAATTCCTTGTCTTTTTTTTAACAGTAACATTTGGTTTGAAGAGATGCTCATGGGAACCAGCTTGCCCTCAGAGCTCCGCGTGGCCTGAGGGCGCAGCTTCAGTGAGCGAATTCCAGCTAGTCCGCGCGCCGGGCGGCATCAGACTCGCTCACAGGAACCTGTGCAAGTTGGACGAACATGGTAGGCATGGATGAACATGGTAGAGAACGTTTGACCAAGTCTGGGGCGCGCAGATCCTATCAAGAACATCACAAACATCACAACCATCGTAAGCCATAAAGGAGACTCTGTGACATGGAGAACATGAGAACATGTGACATGGAGAATAGTTGTACTTTCCAGGACTTGTGCCGAGTCTAAGGGCGCCTGTGCCAGCTGGGCGCTAGAATCCGCTAGAATGTTCAGCGCCTGGGTGTTGTGAATATTTCCACGGGAAGGGACACGGAAAGACCAATTTCAAAGGTGAATGGATTTTGTTTGCGTAACCAAGTAACCTGAAACAGCACTTTTCTTTTTTTGTGTGTTGGAAGGCGGCGTCCCCCTTCACAAATTGAGCCGAGACATGCCTTAGACTCTTAGACCAGAAAGTTGTAGGACTGCATACCAGTGTACCACCCGCATATATGTTTTCATCATGTTCATTTTACTGGCGCAGGCCCTCAATATACAGATTCATACACCACTGTGCGAGCGATTGGAGGTCAGACGTTCCTAGACTAGTTCCTAGATGTGTCTTTGTTTTTTAATGTTCCTTCTTTCGTGGACTTTCGAGTGCAGGCTTTTTCAAGGCTGAGCAGCACCGAGCACTTGCCCTTGTGCGTGGCTCAAGGCTTTGCGATGCATTGCCATGCTTTGCCTGTAGGCTGCTTGCAGCCGCGCAGTTGTACCGAAAGCTTCGCAACTTTGCCTCCGCGAAATTGTCTTCTCCTCTCCTTTCAGCCGAAGAGGCTGTGATAGGCTGTGATGCCCGTGTGCGAAATGTCGCATCTTATTTGTGCTCTTTCCTCGCCACCAACGCGCGAGCTGGTGACACAGATCAGAGATACAAAAGCAGTGTGCTCAAACGCCACATACTAAAGTGCGGTGGCAAATCATTCCCAGTATCTCCTTTTGTTTGTTGTTTCGTGGTGAAAGAGTTGCTGCTGGGCTTGCTGCATTCGAGTGGCTCAAGTCCGATCGAGTGTTTTGTGGAGAGCCACTGAGTCGTGAGCCATGGGTCACGGAGGTTCCGATTCATGAGTTCGTTTTGTCATGTTTTGGTTTGTATATTATTGTATTACGTTCTACACAGTGAGCAAGACTATGTCAGGAGAGAGAGAGAGAGAGAGGAGAGAGAGCGCTTTGAATGTCTTAAGCACCTCTACACCCATTCCGCTTCCCTTCCTGCGTGCTGATGTTTGGGGTGTTAAGCTAGCTGTAGCTTTCAACTGGAAGTCGAAGCCACTGTGACTCATGTCAGGTAACAACGTCATTCCCAATGTGCACTTCCGAAAGGTCAATGGCTGCCAAAGTGGCCGCAAGAACCGCGTGTTCATGCGGACCTGGTTGAACCAGGCAGGCCGAAAGAAGCGAAGAGCCAACACACGGAAAGAAAAGGCAGCAAAGGTCTTCCCACGCCCTTCCGCTGGGCTGCTGCGTCCGTTGGTGCACCCGCCAACCCAGCGCTACAACATGAAGCTTCGATTGGGCAAGGGCTTCACTTTGGACGAGCTGAAGGAAGCCAAGATCCCTCGAAAATTTGCAAAGACCATTGGGATTGCAGTGGACCATCGCCGCAGAAACCGATGCACTGAGAGCTTGCAGACAAATGTCGAGCGGCTGAAGCTTTACATGTCCAAGCTCATGCTCTTCCCAAAGAGATCCGGCACAAAGGGTGTGCGGAAGGGCGACACTCCTCGATCGGAGTTGCAGAACGTTGCCCAGAACACGCTGAAGGACATCATTCCAGTGCCAAAGGTGGAGAAGCGTATCAAGGCGAGGGCAATCACAGCGGAGGAGAAGAATGAATCCGTCTATAAAAAGCTGAAGAAGGCCCGAACTGCTGCACATTATCAGGGTGATAGGATCAAGAAGGCCAAGGAAGCTGCTGCCAAGGAAACATGAAATGAATGTCGGTTAACATCATCCGAACATCCAATGACGAAATTGAAAAAAACACAATACATCTATAGATTGCTATATTGTTATATTATATCTTGTATTGTACAATAGAATGATATAATGTGAATTCATAATAGGAATACAATATATATATATATATTAAAATAAAATATATTTAAAGGCTTATGTTTGATAGCTAGGCGCCGGCCAAAGAGGGTAAGCGGTTATATATATGATAGATAATCTTTTACGAGGTAATGTGGTAACGAAAATAATACGAATATGTAAATTTGAATTTTTGAAATAGAGAAATTGAACCTATTTTGGATTAATGTACGGCTTTTGGATTGTATGGGACGATAATGAATATATATTGGTTTAGGATTTATATTGATTTAATTAGAATTTATATTGATTTAATTTGGGTTGATATTTTTGTGTATTATATTTTATAGGATTTTATATGTATAGAAAATGCAAAAAATATAAAATTGATTATTTTAATGTTATTTTTGTCCGAAACAATTTATTGTTGGAATTCTATTTAAGAAAGAAAGGAATTGATTATATTTATTGGTCGTGTCCTGAATTTTGTGATTGGATTTTGTGGTTGGGCTTTGTTTTTTTGCGCGGTTTTGACTTCTGTTAATTTTGTGGTTGGACTCTATATTTAGGCTTTGTTTTCCTTTTGCTCGCGCGGGCTTTGTGTGTAGGTTTTGCTCTTTTGTTGTGCTTCTCTTGATCGCGTCTCTGAACTCTGTTAAGGGTGTGTGGCTGCACTCTGTATTTAGGCTTTGTTTTCCTCTTTTTGTCCTCCTCCTCTTGGTCGCCCCTGAACTCTGTTAACTCTGTGGTTGGGCTGTGTGGTTGGGCTTTGTGTCTAGACCTTGTCCTCCTGAACTCTGTTAACTCTGTGGCTGGGCTGTGGTTGGGCTTTGTGTCTAGGCCTCGTCTTCCTCTTGTCCTCCTCGGTGTCTAGGCCTTGTCCTCCTCTTATTTTCCTCTTGGCCGCGCCGTGTCTATATTTTGCCCTCTTGTTCTCCTTCTTTTGGCCGCGCCCCTAAATTCTGTCAATTCTGTGGCTGGGTTGTGTGGTTGATGCGAGGGCAACGATCCTCCATTTTGCCAGAAAGAGAAATTGCAGGACGCCAATCATCAAAGTTCCATGCTGTCCGAGCATGAAGCAAGTTACGGTGTGTCCAGGCCTTGTCCTCCTCTTGTCTTCTTCTTGGTCGCGCCCTTGAATTCTGTTAACTCTGTGGTTGGGCTGTGTGGTTGGGCTTTGTATCTAGATTTTGTTCTCCTCTTGTCCTCCTTTTAGCCGCGCCCCTGAACTAACTCTCTTTCTCTCTTTCTGTCTCTCTCTCTCTCTTTCATATAAGGATTGAGGATATATATTTAGTAGTGGCGGAATCCATTTATGTAGAATTGAGATATTGCGAATAAAATATTTGGAAGACGGAGATATTTCACAATATAAATCTTGCCACTCTTCTTTGTGGCGATACGTTGTGTGATGGATGGCGCGAAGAAAAGCTTGGGCTCTTTAAATTTATCGTGTTCTGAGCGCGCTCTAAGTGCGCCTTTTTGGAGCGCGAACGCGCCGTCCATAGCACACGAGCGCACGCGCGCGTTCGCCCTGCTTTCTTTCTTTCTTTCTGTCTTTCTTTTTCTTTCTTTCTCTCTCTCTCTCTCTCTTTCTCTCTCTTTCTCTCTTTAAGTTTATCTTTCTCTGTCTTTCTCTCTGTAGAGCGCGCTCTGAGGGCGCCTTTCTGGAGCGTATGTCAGAGCGCGCGCGACAGAGCCCAACCATAGATCCCAAACACATAGCCTAGCCACAGAATTGACAGAGTTCAGGGGCGCGGCCAAGAGGAGGATAAGGCCTGGACACAGAGCCTAGCCGGAGAGAGAGGTAGATATTAGGCCGAACCCGCGCGCGATCGTGGGCTTCGGACGGCGCACTTTGCGCGGTCTGAAATACGCTCCAGAAAGGCGCGCTCACAGCGCGCTCTGCAGACAGAAAGATAAAGAAAGAGAAATTGAGAGAGAAAGAGAGAGAGAGAGAGAGAGAACGAAAGAAAAAGAAAGAAAGATAAAGAGAGCAGGGCGAGCGCTCGCGCGTTATGGACGGCGCGCTCACGCATGGACGGCTTATTGGGCTTTTGTCAGCCTCTTGTCCTCTGTGCTGGGCTCTGTGGCTGGGCCTTGTCCTCTTCTTGTCCTTGTCTTGGTCGCGCCCCTGAACTCGTCTGTAGCTGGTCTCTGTGGCCCGGCCTATTGGAGAGGAGTGTGGCCGAACAAATAGCGATGTCAATGCCGACAAACATTTATTGATTAAGCAATTTGCTTTTGGGGTGACAGTAGGGCGTATCCAGAAACCGATTTTTGATTCATATTGGTCTAAACGAATCGTTTTGTTATCGATATGTTACATCTGTTATGCACATTAAATCTAAAAATATAATATTTTGTGAATATTATACATAGTATTTGTCGTAAAATACAAGGGGGGAAATCGACCGGACGTCGATCGGAAAAGGTCGGCGGCAGGGGACGCACTCGTTAGTTATCTTCGGGAATCCGGCTAGGACGGGCGCGGTGATCGACGCCCGGATTTATATAGATATTTATTGTTTTGTTAAACAATATATAGTAATTATCGGATTTTTATTAATTATATTGGAATATTTTTATATATTTATTGCAAACATATATTTATTGAAATATATAATTTTATATTATTGAAAATATTTATATTATACATAAATATATATAAATTGAAATTTGAAATATATAATCAAATGAATTTCTGAATATATTTTAGATATTGGAAATCTCAGAAAAACCGGTGTATGTGTAAAATGTATATATAATTGTTGATAGTTTTTGCGAATTCATATTTAAATTCTATTGTTTAGTCCTTGTGCGCGGAGACCGAAATTATTCTATTATTTCCAAATTTTGCAAAATTAATCAAAATAATTTTTCTTAAACATATATATATATATATTATCGTAATTTCTTTTATAGATAACTTGCTTACGGTCTAGGCAACGGGTTCGATTCCCCGGGTCTATATACGTCTATTTTGTGCAATTCTCCAATAACAATTATAATTCTATTCCATATTTCCTTGAATTTTCGATTTTTCTATTTCCGATTATTGATTTAATTTGTTTTGAATTTTCTATTCCGAATATTGAACTAATTTTCTTTTTTGCAATCCTTCATTTCATTCATTGCAATTTGAATTTCGATGATAAATCAATGATTCTGATAATATTCGGTATATTTTCGTGGATTTGAAATACTATATATATATATATAGATATACATTTATATATTTAGATATGAATGGATATATTGGTGTTCTATATTTTGTCTTTAATATTCAAATTGATAGGAATGGAAGAGAGGTATCCTTTTCTAATTTTTATTATTTGGTTCAGAGCAATTTCCTCCAAAATGACGAATTATTTATTTATCATTAAATCCATAATTTATCAATAAAAGAGCTATGAGGCTCTACTTTTGCCAACGAAAGACGAAAACAGATAAAATGAATTGCATACAACAATTTTTTACTTATACAAACACATTGCAACGCCGGGTTTGTAGGGGGCTCACGCCCCACTGCTACCGTTTTTTGGGCGATTGGAACCTTTGAATCATTCGTTGTCGCAATCGTTTCTTCGTCTTTTCCAGGGGTCTCAAGACCTGAAGATATTATAAGATATCATGAAATTATGATCATTTCAATAACGAATATAATTATTATTATATATAGATAAATAAATGAAAGAACAAACAATATTTGGATAGGTTGTTTGGATATGTATTTTGCAGATATAATTTTATATATGAATTTTGCGGATTGGAAATATTTTGCAACAAACCATAATATCCTCAATTTCCACAGAGCCGTACTTCACAGATACAAATCTTGTTCTAATTTAAGGCAATGATTCCGGTAATATGACAAGACTCCATTGAAAAAATAATGTCCTGATTCAGGATCTTTTGAAATTCGATCGTTCAATACACGTGATATCAATATCATTATTTATATCAAATCAGATGAAAGACCCATCAATTGGGTGCTCTGCAGACGAAATATTATAAATTCATTTTTAGATATATCCTGCAATAGGTCGCAATATCCTCGATTTCCACAGCGCTATGCTTCATAGATACAGGTCTTGTGCAAATTTAAGACAATGAATCTGATGATATGACATCACATCATTGAAAAATAATTCCGTAGATCATAAATCCAATATATATAGAAATAGAATTCTATATCATTAGATATGAATGGATATATAGATATCATTCTTTACAACCAATTCGATGAAAGGTCAACCAACATTTGGATGGGCAGAGAGATATTTTATGGATAAATTCTGAGGGTTAGAAATATCCTCCAACAGGCAACAGGCCGTAATATCCTCAATTTCCACACAAGCCGTGCTTCACGGATACAGGTGTTATGCTAATTTAAGGCAATGATTCGGATAATATGATATCATTCTCTTGGAATACAATATAATGGATCAAAATCCACCATAGATAGTGATAATCGAATGATTACATATGGATGGATATATAGATATCGTTATATAACGAATTCGATGAAATATCAAAAATCTTAACAACGGAATCGTAGATATCTATAAAGATCGATAAATTAATATTTTCTATATAGATGTTTTTTTTGCATTTCTTATCCCCTCCTGGAGGGAATAATAATATTATCTGTGACGAATACGGATTCATAAATATCTATTATTAATTAACCATTGCAAGAATTGCATAATCGTCTAGATTATCGAAATATATATTTTCTTTTCTTGATATATCGAAAAAAATATTTCGAATTATAAATATTATCAAATCCATCGCAATATCATCTTCCTCAAAAAAGGTTTAATCCTATTATTCCCAATCGATATCTGTTTGAATTTCTTCTATAATATAAATGAATCGATGGATTTATTGTCGTGGAAATCGATATTAATAATATATATCTATCGTCATATGTTTTTCAATATACATATTAATAAATATCAATTAATATCAAAATTATATAAATATATATAGATATAAATTATTAAAATATTTTTGGGAATATTATATAATAAAATATATATTATTAATAATATGGGAGTCCTTTCATTATCTGTAAATTATATAATTTATATACAATTATTTAAAATACACTATTAAAATAAATTCCAAATATTATATTATTTAGTATATGTTAATAATCTTTAATTTAATAATCATTATCTCCAATTATCTAAAAATTAATAATAATATCTAAAAGATATATTCTCATAATTAATAATTATACCTAATTCAATATTAATGAAATATATATATATATATCTGAGAAGGGGACGAAAGCCAGCAGCCGCCAGACGAGTGTCTCTTTTTCTGGCGGGCATCGCGGCACAAAACACATGGTCGGCAGATTGCGAGTCAACGGCGCCGCGGATGCGGAGGGACGTATGTAATGGTGATGGAGGGAGTAGAGAAGTAAGTTGGGGACAAATTTATTCATAATGAAAGAAGAAATGAAAGAGATATGCGATACGTTATATATTGAAATAGATCATCATCACAAGGTAATGGCATGGGTTTATCATATGCAGGAAGATATACATCTTTTGGAAGTTAAAAAACGACATCAACATTAACGAAGAAGAAATATCATTTTGAATTAATTCGAATGATGGGATACCACGTGCACGGGCGCAAAAAGACCTTCTTTATAATTAGTATCGCCGCGTGCAAGCGACATGCATTGCTTTGGAAGAATAAATAGATATGTTTTAGCTAAGACACGGATATTTAATCCCCCAACGAAAATAATTTAAAATTAACAAAAGAATATGCAATTATTTATTTATCGATATATATACCTATTTTTAAATTAGTTATATTCTAATTCTTATTTAATTTTATCAATTCTATATCTTTCTAATTCAAATACCTTAATGATGGTCACCTATATATAAATATCTTTAAATCATAAATCCAAATTAATCAAATTCGATCAAACCTTCCAACAAAAAATAATATCATACATTAATAATATATAAAATTAATATTCATAATATGTTCGTTTTTGTATAAAATTTCCAAATTATCCTAAATATTAATATTTTATATATCGTTATAATATATTCTATTCTATTTCCATTCGATTATTAAATATTTATTATCCAAATAATATCCAAAACCTATCCCAATGCCAATAATCCATTATCCACCATTCATTTCATTATTCATATATCCAATTCCCATTTTCATTGTTTTTATGCATTCAAAAATCATTTCCCCCCATTAAATTCTATATTCGACCTCTCGAAAAATCCTTCTCGACAATCGTCCCTTTATTCTATTTCGGAAAATCCTCTTAATCCTTTTCGGCAAATCCTTTTCGACGATTCTTCCCGATTTATCGATTAAATTTTAAAATATATTGAATATTAATTATATTCATCTCATCAATATATTATACATATTTATTTTTAATTTATATATATACATTATACTTTAATACATTAATTAAAATATATTTTATATCCATAATATTCCATTAATATCTCTAATATAATGAATATATATATATATATATGAATTTGAATATGGTTTATATATTTTCCATTGGATTCATTCAATTCGTTAAGGATATCAATATTCCAATGCATCCATTTTATTCATGCTGCCGGCCACCACCTGGAGCAGTGTTGCAACAATCTCCACATTTCAGAAACTTGACATGATGAAATTTGCGCTTGACATGAATTGAATTAAGTCCACAAAACTGTGACTCGGCGGAGGACCTCGTTCTGCACCTCTCTCACGGTCTCCGCCTCTGTCCTAGAAACCAAGGGCATTTGACATTCCTTCCAGCCCTGTTCTGGATCCTGATATGTTGTATCCAAGTATCCAAAAACTACCACTGTGGATCTAGGACCTTCCTCTTTAGAGGCCGTGCAACTGACAACAGCCGTGCAATTGACAGTGGCCAAGGCACCCGATCCCCTCGACGATCACGATCCCGGTCACGATCGCCTGCGCTTACAACTTGTGGAGAGCAAAAAATAGAATGACTCAGAAAAGCCTGTGTATCGCAATACCGATTGCGCACATACCTAGACCATGCAGCAAACAAACATGTGCCTGTGGGCCCTAAATTGCGCATCCCTTTGTCGGGGAAGCAACTCTAATGGCACACCAAGATGGACCACGATGCTGCGATGATGCAAAAAATCGGAGCAAGTTGAACATCAGTAGTTTCACTAGACGTCTAAGGTTGATGTTTTCTTGAGCTAGTACATTACTGAGTCCAGCCTGGATCCGCAGCTGAGCAATTTCAATACGCGTTTCTTGCAAAAAGTATCCCATAACCCAATGTTATCTTTGAGAGTGCAAATGATGTCCAAAGCCTCGGTCGCGATCGCGTCTATCTCGATCACCACGGTCCCTGTCGGGTCGTCTTAATGCTCTGAGGATGCCAATGAAAGGGTTCAACACATCCACGTGATTCCACGTGCCTGTCATGTCGGCCACCTCTTGCTTCATCTCTCCCACCTCTATTTCGACTACGACTTCTATCGCGGGCCTGACAGTGCAAATCTGCTTTGCTACTGTTCGAAGAACTAAGACTGAGAAAGTGCAAAGCACAAGCATTGTTGCAACCTTCAACGCAAAGACTCAATCATCTCAATCCCAAGCACAAAAAAACATGTTTCTGCGGTTGCGAGACGCATTTTTAGTAACAAGGCTTCACTCATTGCGCGCCACTAGTTGATTACATGCACGAAAACTGTCAAAACGCACGAGGAATCCTTGGCAGAATCTCGAAGTTCTCGTTCATGTACCTGGGGAGATGGAACGAAAGCATGTTTGTTCCAATGAGTGACAAGAACAGGTGCCACTGCGCCAAATGAGCTCTACTGTCTGTTTGAGTGATTTTAGATTGCAGAACTGACCATGCGTTGCAATCAATTTCTGAATTGAAACATGTCCCACTTTCAACTACTTTCGCTTGCAATCATTACCAGGATGACCTGCCTTGCTCCCAATGGCAGCGGCGTACGCAGGATCCTGCATTAGGACATAGACATGACACAAACAAATCCGCCGACCCCGGCTAAGCTTTTCCTAAGCCGGGCGGCGCCCGGGACACCGCAGGGTGGAACTATCACCTTTGCCCAGCTTAGCTTAGCCATTCTTAACTAGATGGGTTCCAACATTACCTTTGCCCAGCCCAACCGTTCTTAACTGGGACCTAGCATGGGCGGTTGTTTGCTGTCTCTCAGTGGATTTGGCTGTGGGCTAAGGCTGTGGCTGTGGGCTGGCCGCTTTTGGGCGCAGCACGATATGGGCCAAGGCTGTCGCATGGGGGCGCCTTCTACTCCTCTGGCTGTGGGCTAGTTTTTTTTCCTGGGTTTCGAAGCTGCCGTGTCACACCCTCTCCCCTTTGCTTTGCAGTCGCCATTTTTGATCCTTTTTGCTCTGCTTTTGACATTTTTTCAAGTAAATGCATACGTGATGTTCAACATGTCGGTTTGCGGCCGACATTTCTAGCACCACCTAGGCTTATATGGCTTCTTCAAAATCAGGACTTTGCAATGTGCTAATCGTCGGATTTTGCTGTGCAGAGAGTCTGCGGATACGCGCAGTCCCCCCCAGGGCATCGCCGGTTGGCGAACCCTGTCAGTTCTTTATTCTTGGTATCGTCACTGGATAATATGCAAAAAGCGGCCCTCAAAGCTTTCCTTGACAGGCTTTCCATCGCGCAAGTCTCGCAGCATCATCATCATCAAGGAGGATGGCTTGTTTGACCGTTCCAAATGCCTCAGTACAACAGTCGATTAACCAGATAGATAGAGACAGACAGACAGACAGACACAGACAGACACAGACAGACACAGACAGACACAGACAGAGACAGACAGAGACAGACAGAGACAGACAGAGACAGACA